TTTTTTAAAGATTTTATTTATTTGACAGAGAGAGACACAGCGAGAGAGGGAACACAAGCAGGGGGAATGGGAGAGGGAGAAGCAGACTTCCCGCTGAGCGGGGAGCCCGAGGCGGGGCTCGATCCCAGGACCCCGGGATCATGACCTGAGCCGAAGGCAGACGCTTAACGACTGAGCCACCCAGGCGCTCCCCAAGCTGTGAGACTTCTAAGGTATTTGTGGGCAGTGCCACTTGAAAAAGCAGGTGTGTTCAATGTGCTGTGACTACATGTGTGGTTGGTTTCCAGAATAAACTTGGAGTAGCCAACTTGCTTAATCTTAGCTTGTGATATGCTTCAGAACATCTTAGACATGCTTAAGGTAATCTTAATTTTGTTCACTTTGCATTTTCAAATATTGAGGACACCAATTGCAAAATGTTTGAAAATGATCCAGGTTATAAAGTCCAGCTATATTTGTTCTTGGTATGAGAAACCTAAAGTCTAGATCTTAATAAAGCATGCTGTCTTAATGGAAGGAAAAAAATTCAATAAAGGAGAGAGAATTACACTGAGAATTTTTTTCAAACAGACATTTTATTTAAAAATAGTAGATATTAAATGGGAGTTAATATGTCAAATATGTGGAAAGTTAGTGTTATGGACACTGCTCTGTAAATAGTTTATAGAACCTACTATCAAAGCTAGTGGTAAAATATGAAATAATTGGAGTTGGTGTTGACTGGAATTTACTTTCATCTTTTCCCCCTTCAGGTCAGTCTTCTGGTTTTCCATGTATATCTATGCCTTATTATGTATATATATTAAACCCTAAATTTTTAGGGTAAACTGATGAAAATGTATACACACTGGGTTATCACAGTTTGCTAGAACAAAGAGGGTATTTGTTTTGTCTTTGTTATCAGTGTACTAATATGGAAGCAAATAAAACATCACAATTCACAATCTGGGTAAATTAGTTTTAGATTGCCATAAGGACACAATTAATGAGATAAGTGAGAGGTTTTTTTTTTTCTTTCCACGTTTTATGAATGAGTATTTTTGTATTGTTAGGTTAAAAAAATAAACTATAAATCATCATTTGAATATATAGTTACTCAAAGATTGTTTTTTTCTCCCAAAACTTTTAGAATCATATTGGGATTAGGAGAAATATTTTTTATTCTTTGTTTCTGGAATTTAATTGCAAAATCAGATTTAAAAAATAAATTTAACTTTGGAGTTATTAGCTTTTATATTTCATGACAATCAAGACTTGTGAGTTAGAATCTATTTGTATTTGAACTGAAAAAGTTTTTTTCGATACCAAAATATGTAGGGGAATGATCACTGATCCTTCATCAGTCATTATTAGAATTGCCATTATCCAAAAAATGTCATATAATGAGATGTAAAAGAATTCTAAACACAAAATTCAAATGATCATACTTACAGTGAGTAATCATAAAAAGGACTTTTGAAATATTGTATTTGTTACTATTAGAATTTGATTTTTTAACAATTTGCTTATATACTGTGATGTCAGTGTTGTTATTTTGTACTTTCAATGTGGGAATTTAATTACTACAGAGAAAAGTAAAGAAAAATAGTTTATCAAAGTTTCTTAGTGTTAACTTGGTGATGATTTTGTGAACAAATATTTTTTCCAACTGAGTAGAAAGTGCATAAAGATGTTCAACTTAGCTTTTTTTAAAGATTTATTTATTTGAGAGAGAGAGAGAGAGAGAGAAAGAGATAGTGCATGAGTGGGGGGAGGGGCAGAGGGAGAGCATCCTTAAGCAGACCCCCCTCCCCCACCCCCCCCAGCCTGAGACTGAGCCTGACTTGGGGCTCCATCCCACCACCCATGAGATCTTGACCTGAGCTGAAACCAAGAGTCAGTCGCTTAACTGACTGAGCCACCTATGTGCCCCTCAACTTTGCTTTTTTAAACCTGATGTAAAAAAAATAAATTTGATCTTCACTAAAACCAAACTCATTGAGGCGCCTGGCTGGCTCAGTTGGTAGGGTGAGTGACCCTTGATCTCAGGGCTGTGAGTCTGAGTCTCACTTAGGTGAGGAGATTACTGAACGGTAAAATCTTAAAAAACAAAACAAAACAAAACTCACTTGTGCTTTTTCACCTCTGAGTGAAAAGGAGTTGCGTTTTTCTAAAATAAGCTGTAATTGTTTTGCATGATAGTTCAAGTATTGCTTTATCTGAATTAAAAATATATTGAATTTGTGCTCGCTTCGGCAGCACATATACTAAAATTGGAACGATACAGAGAAGATTAGCATGGCCCCGGCGCAAGGATGACATGCAAATTCGTGAAGTGTTCCATATTTTTTTACATCAACATGGATGGGACTGGAGGAGATTATGCTAAGCGAAATAAGTCAAGCAGAGAAAGTCAATTATCATATGGTTTCACTTATGTGTGAAACATAAGGAATAACATGGAGGACATTAGGAGAAGGAAGGGAAAAATGGGGGGGGAATTGGAGGGAGAGATGAACCATGAGAGACTATGG